AAAAGACTCCTTTATACACACACACACACACACTTCACCACAGCATCTTCTAAATACCATGAACTATTATCTTGCATCTCCTGAAAATGTTTTTCAGTTTCTGTGAAAAGGTGTCTTGCCTGTAATAAGGAAGGTGCAGCAGTGGAACTACAGGGAGTGCTGGTGTTGCGGTTACACCGGGGCCCATCGAGTAGCCCGTGCATTTAGGACCACCCGATAGGCATGTGTCTTCCAGGGCCCAAAACAGTTTTTGCACCAGAGCCCACTCTTAGTTTCAACACTGTGCAGCAACTTCCCCGTCACTCAAGCTCTGCCGCCACATGGATGATCGCCTCCCTGTATGCAAGCTCCGCCCCGAATCTCTGACTGAGACACACTGACAGACATACAGTGACAGGCACACACTCTCTGACTGAGACACACAAGAAAGGTATTAGGGAGGAGTTGGGCAACTATAGGCCAGTAAGCCTTACTTCAGGAGTAGGGAAAGTAATGGAAACCATGTTAAAGGATAGGATTGTTGACAGTGGCGTAACATACCGGGGTCGCAGGGGTCATGGCTGCAACCGGGCCCTGCCCACCAGGGGGCCCGGCCTGCCTGCGACCCGGGATGTACCCACTGTGACGTCATATCCCTGCTCCGGCATCAGTACGCAGTGCGCGAGGGAGCTGAAGAGGAAGCACTCAGGGGAGAGTGCTCCCTTGCGCGCGTGCCAGGTGACACCACTGGACCCTAGGGAATCCCCTCAGCTCTCCCAAAGGTAGGGAGGCTGGGGGGGATTAAATTTAAAAAAAAAGCGTGTGTGTGTTAGTGTGTCAGTGTTTTAGAGTGTGTGTGTTAGTGGAAGAGAGTGTGTGTGTGTTAGAGTGTGTGTGTTAGTGTGTGTGTGTTAGTTTGTGTGCGTCTGTTAGTGAGTGTGTTTTGTAAGTGAGTGTGTATGTATGTCTGTCACTGAGTGTGTGTCTGTCTGTTAGCTAGTGTGTATGCGTCTGTTCATGAGAGTGTGTGTGTTTGTCTTAAGCACTTACCTTTCTCCAGCGCCGGACTCCCTTGGCGCTGGGGATCTCTCCGCCCCGATCCGCCTCTCAGCTCCGAATGCGCATACGTGGCAAGAGCCGCGCGGGCATTCAAACCGCCCATAGGAAAGCATTACGCAATGCTTTCCTATGGATGTTCAGCATCTTCTCACTGTGATTTTCACAGTGAGAATCGCGAAAGCTTCTCTAGCGGCTGTCAATGAGACAGCCACTAGAGGCTGGATTAACCCTCAGTGAAACATAGCAGTTTCTCTGAAACTGCTATGTTTTCAGTTGCAGGGTTAAAACTAGAGGGACCTGGCACCCAGACCACTTCATTGAGCTGATGTGATCTGGGTGTCTGTAGTGGTCCTTTAAGTGTATGTGTATCTGCATGCACTGGCGTACATACCGCGGTCGCAGGGGTCGCAGCCCTGCGACCAGGTGCCCACCGCCATGTGTTGCGGCCCCAGCCCGCGCAGAGTAAGCGCGCGGGGGAGGGGCATGGATCAGTTTTCGCACCGGGTCCCCATGGGTTGTGTGTATGCCACTGATTGTTGAACATCTAAAATCACATGGATTTCAAGATCAGAGACAACATGGGTTTACTTCAGGGAGATCATGCCAAACTAATCTTATTGATTTTTTTGATTGGGTAACTAAAATAATAGATCAGGGTGGTGCAGTAGACATTGCTTAGCTAGATTTCAGTAAGGCTTTTGACACTGTTGCAAATAGAAGGTTTATCAATTAACTGCACTCTTTAAGTTTGGATTCCAATATTGTTAAATGGGTGAGGCAGTGGCGGAGTGACAGGCAACAGAGGGTTGTAGTCAATGGAGTATATTTGAAGCATGGTCTTGTCACCAGTGTGGTACCTCAGGGACCCATTCTCTTTAATATTGTTTTTTGGTGAAATAGCAGAAGGTCTTGATGGTAAAGTATGTCTTTGTCACGGCTTACCTTGGTGGGGAGTCTGTAGCGCAGATATATGCTCACCCTTGCAATTAAACACAGGCCACAGTGGTCAGGGAAGAACTCACCTGGCCTGTGAATCTGTGCACGGGGGCTGTGCAGGATGATGCTCCAAGTTGCAGTACAGATACGGACATAAACAGGAGAATCGTCGTGGGTAAGCCAGAGGTCAGTGGGTGCCAGAAATCAGGATAAACAAGTAGAGAGCTGAGGTCAGAGGATGCCAGAAGTCAGGATACACGAAATAACAAGCCAAGGTCAGGAATCAACAGGAGAACACGAAACAGCAATACAGGAACCAGAGTCAATGAACTGACACTGCACTCAAGGAGAGGCAGTGTCTTATACCTGGCTAATTGGTGATCAGTCACAGGTAGGCTGAGAATGTTGGAGCTGCCACAGAATAACGTCCAGCCCCCAGTGCTGGATACGAGGCAATATTATACTTTAGGCAATTACTAGAGCTGTATAGTGGCTCAAAGGCAACAAAGCAGGTCCAGGATTGTAAAGTAACCATGGTTCAAATCCCTCATCGGGCACTTCTGGGGCGACCTCGTCTGGATGTCGCGGTGAGAACCGTGACAGTCTTTTTGCTGATGATACTAAGCTATGTAACAGGGTTGATGTTCCAAGAGGGATAAGCCAAATGACAAATGATTTAGGTAAACTAGGAAAATGGTCAGAGTTGTGGCAGCTGACATTTAATGTGGATAAGTGCAAGATAATGCATCTTGGACGTAAAAACCCAAGGGCAGAGTACAGAATATTTGATAGAGTCCTAACATCTGAGGAAAGGAATTAAGGGGTAATTATTTCTGATGACTTAATGGTAGGCAGACAATGTAATAGAGCAGCAGGAAATGCTAGCAGAATGCTTGGTTGTATAGGGAGAGGTATTAGCAGTAGAAAGAGGGAAGTGCTCATGCCACTGTACAGAACACTGGTGAGACCTCACTTGGAGTATTGTACACAGTACTGGAGACCGTATCTTCAGAAGGATATTGATACCTTAGAGAGAGTTCAGAAAAGGGCTTCTAAACTAGCACTATTGTTCGGTCAACCCTGATTCAAAGACTTCCGAACATTGGATTGGAGACTAATGAATCTACCACTAGACCAGCTCACAGCCTACCTATTGACATTGAATTCATGAATTCAGAGAAGGGCTTCTAAACTGGTTCATGGATTGCAGGATAAAACTTACAAGGAAAGGTTAAAGGAACTTAACATGTATAGCTTGGAGGAAAGATGAGACGGGGGGATAGAAACATTTAAATACATAAAGGGAATCAACACAGTAAAGGAGGAGACTATATTTAAAAGAAGAAAACCTACCACAACAAGAGAACAAAGTCTTAAATTAGAGGGGCAAAGGTTTAAAAATAATATCAGGAAATATTACTTTACTGAGAGGGTAGTGGATGCATGGAATAGCCTTCCACATGAAATGGTAGAGGTTAACACAGTAAAGGAGTTTAAGCATGCGAGGGGTAGGCATAAGGCTATCCTATCTATAAAATAAAGCCATGGACTAATGAAAGTATTTAGGAAATTGGTCAGACTAGATGGGCCGAATGGTTCTTATCTGCCGCCACATTCTATGTTTCTATGTTTCTCACTGACTGAGACACACACACACACACACATTGAGACACATACACACACATACATTTTCTCACAAATTGCTATTTTTATTTTTATTTAAATGCACCCAGCCTCCCTACCTCTGGGAGAGCTGAGTGGATCTTTCCCTGGCGTCCAGTGCGTCTCCTCTCAATCTTCCTGCAATTTCTCTCGGCACCCCTGTGCGCTCTCTGTAGTGATGCCGGGGCCAGAGTGACATCATGTCACTAAACTGCCATGATGGAGCAGAGAGGAACTGCAGGAAGATTACTGCTGCCTCGCGTGCTGCCTCCATGCTCCCCGGGGTGCCAGGGCAAAATGTCTAGTTGCCATGGTGACCTGACACCTGGAATTTCTCGAGCCCTGTGTATGCATGTGTGTGTATATATATATATATATATATATATAGATAGATATAAATAGACGCACACACATACACGTTTTATAACTGCACCCCTACTTTTGTCCCTGGCCCCTTATGTTCCCCCAAGTATGAATCCTGGAGACGCCACTGCAACCATAACATTTACTCTTGTGCTGAAGCCCACAGTCTATTTGCCACACAGGAACACCCCTCTATCTCCCAAAAGATCCTGGGTCAGTCCTGCTGTCCTGGGTTTGCTCTTTGGGTTCCCATATTTAAGGACACCAGAGACTTCATAAAGTACATGATTACACACGACTGTCAGTCAACCTAGCATGCATTCACACAAGAACACTAGCACATCCCAAAGCTGCACTTTTGGATGTGTGAATCTGGAAGACATTAACATACACACTAAATTAATTTGAGATGATATGTGTTTCGTGTCATGGTTCATTATCTTGCTGAAATAGAAGATTAGACGATAGATAAACTGTAGCTATGAAAAATGCACATGCAACAATATATTTAGGTTCATTGTGGTATTTAAATGATGATACATTGGTATTAAGACAGGGGTTCTCAACTCAATATGGACAAATTTAAAGCCGTACCTGTCACCATTACTCACTTGGATACTGCACACTTATGTTTACAATTTCTTTTCAAATGGAGTGTTAGCCAATTTAAGTATTTGGGAATCTGGCTAACCAAAGACTTAACCCTCCTAAACCCCAAAAAACATTTTAACAATTCTTCATACGCTAAACTCCGATCTCCTGAAATGGAATGGCATATGTGTCTCTTGGTTTGGCCAAATAAATGCTTTGAAGCTCAACCTGCTACTCAGACTGTTGTTCCTCTTCCAAACTATACCAGTATGAAAAGACGGGAAAACTCAGGCTTCGCTGACATGTCAGCCTCGACACGTATGTGGTTTGCTCCGGACTGCTGTGAGGATAAAGGAAGGTCAGTGAAGGCTGTCAGTGAGACACCTGTGAATCTGTGTGTCAGCCTTTGTATCTGCATGTGTGTCAGTGTTTGTATCTGTATGTCTGTATATTTACGTGTGTCATTTATTGTATCTGTGTGTCTATGTATCTGCATGTATCTGCATGTGTGTCTGTGAGTGTCACACATGCAGATACACAGATACAAACACTGACACACATACAGATAGAGACACAGATATGCACACTGACACATACAGATACACAAACTGGCACACATACAGATGTACAGATACACAGATACAAACATTGTCACACATGATAAGTCCAGCAATTCTATGGGCCAGTAATATGTATCTATTCTCTGAGATTTGGTGGTGGTCTTCTGCCGCTGTAGCCCACTCATGTGATTGTTTGATATGTTCGTCTTTCTGAGCTTCTCTTCATATGGTTATTTCAGTTTTAAACAGACTGGCAATACTCCCGTGGCAATTCTCCCGTGATCTCATTAATAAGACATTTTTACACTCAGAACTGCCACTTTCTGAATTATTTTTGCTCACCAATCTCTGTAAACTAATGCAGTGCATTTAGATTTTAGGAGATCAGAAGTTTATTAGCTACCCAAACCACCACAAAAACAACCAATCTACTGTCAATTCTACTCTGATCCAGTGTTCTGTACAATGACATGAGCACTTCTACTGCTAATACCCCTCCCTATACAACCAAGCATTCTGCTAGCATTTCCTGTTGCTCTTTTACATTGTCTGCCTACCTTTAAGTCATCAGAAATAATCACCCCTTAATCCCTTTCCTCAGATGTTAAGGTTAGGAATCAAATATTCTGTACTCCGACCTTGGGTTTTTACGTCCAAGATGCATTTTCTTGCACTTATCCACATTAAATGTCAGCTGCCACAACTCTGACCATTTTCCTAGTTTACCTAAATCATTTGCCATTTGGCTTATCCCTCCTGGAACATCAACCCTTACATATCTTAGTATCATCTAACGGTACAAAGTATGCGAAACAGCGGGAGCCAATCCCCGCGTTAGCTAGGCCCCAACGTGGAAACACCGCGAACGAGTTCCCGCGTGTACATATGTGTGCGTGCTGCGTCTAGAGGCTGGAAGCCGGTGTCAGAGTTGGAAACCGGGTCAGAGGCCCTGCGGGCGGTTGGGGTCCCAAATTAAGCTGCAAGCCGAGTTTGGGGAGCTGCAGGTCGGGTGGGAGAGGCTGAAGCTGAATCCGTGGCTGCTGCTGGAAACAACTGGGAAGGCCGAAAACCGGAAGTGCTGGTTGACGTGGCAACATCGCTCTAACAGGAAACAGCATATGTAGACACGGGGGTAGAGCTTATATAGGGAAAACTCATTTAAAGAATGAAGGATGGAAGTGTAGATAAATAAGGCAGTGAAGGGGTTAACCCTACGTAGATTAAATACAATGAAAAAGAGAAAGGCACTGCCCTAATATATTTAAAACATAACTTTTAATAGAAAATCTGTAAAATTATATAACAAAAATGTATGTGAAAAAAATATATATATATGTGAAAAAAGAAAAAAGAAAACTTAGATAAACCTCAAATTCCCACAGAAAGGTTATCTCTGTAGGAAAAGTTAACTAAAATTAAATAGACAGACAAGTGATTGTACTTGATAACATAAAGAGTCCAGGTTAGTGTGGAATGTATGTAACTGTGTAACCATAATTAGATACTTAACAGAAAATACCAACTGGATACAAATTAATGTTACAAGATTTTGTAATATGTCAGTTAGTGTATCTCAATCATTTGTAGAATCCTAACCAGTCTGTCTGGTAAAAACGGACGTGTATCTTGATTGATTGGCTGAGCCTAAATCTTAGTCTATCTGCAATTGATTGGCTACGTCTAAACCTTAGTCCATCTACTATATGTATTAGTACAGGAAATATAAAATCTATAAAGAATCCTTGTCAATTTAACTAGTTCGCTGCCACATGCTAAAGTTCATTCAAAGGGTATAAGGAAAAAGGAAGGGAGGTCTGTGAAAAAATCCTTATCAGTCTGACTCTTTTTATCTACATTTACATATCTTTATATAGTTTGTTATAAGTGTTTATTAGATTTTTAATACACTGAATAATTTATTTACAATTTAATAATCTTATAACTTTTTATTCGTTTTTGCATATCAAAATAGAGACTCTCTGATTACATGTAAGAGTCTTTTTGTCCCTAGCTGACCACCATACACAGTCAGCTATCATGGTATGACGTCATTTTTTTTGAATTTTCAATCAGTTAACAGAGCGCCTTATTTAAACCCCAGCCGACAGCCTGTCAGTTCCCCTTGAAAAGCCGCCTTACCGGTGAAACGCGCGTCGGGGTTTGAGGAGATTCTTGTCATCTCAGCCTTAGCTCTTTAGAATTCTTAGTGGGATTTACCGATAGTTTTAGAATCGATTTGATCTTCAGACTATTAGGTTGAGTTTATGCTGTCTCTTCTCGTCTATGCGGGCGTTGAAATTCAGCCGCTTTTTTTCTACCACGTGTATCAAGGTGTTTAGGTTTAGGTTTATATTCAGTTTTGACTTGTGCATTATAATCAGCCAACGCAGACTTTGAATCTATCTAGTAATAGGTGCTCTTGAAGGCACAATATACATTGGGCGGAAGATTTATATATATATATACTTTTCTCTAGTTCCTATCGACATTTATTAGGACACTTGTTAGCCGGCTGCTTGCAGTTAATACTGCCAGTATAACTTTCCGTTTAGAGGCAGGTGCCCCTGAAGGCACAGTGAGATTTCTCTGATTTTGTAATATAACTTCATTTAACTATCGTACTTTCTGTACCCTCTATAATTGAATCGGATAAAATATACGGCAGTCAAAAAGAGTCAGACTGATAAGGATTTTTTCACAGACCTCCCTTCCTTTTTCCTTATACCCTTTGAATGAACTTTAGCATGTGGCAGCGAACTAGTTAAATTGACAAGGATTCTTTATAGATTTTATATTTCCTGTACTAATACATATAGTAGACGGACTAAGGTTTAGACGTAGCCAATCAATTGCAGATAGACTAAGATTTAGGCTCAGCCAATCAATCAAGATACACGTCCGTTTTTACCAGACAGACTGGTTTGGATTCTACAAATGATTGAGATACACTAATTGACATATTACAAAATCTTGTAACATTAATTTGTATCCAGTTGGTATTTTCTGTTAAGTATCTAATTATGGTTACACAGTTACATACATTCCACACTAACCTGGACTCTTTATGTTATCAAGTACAATCACTTGTCTGTCTATTTAATTTTAGTTAACTTTTCCTACAGAGATAACCTTTCTGTGGGAATTTGAGGTTTATCTAAGTTTTCTTTTTTCTTTTTTCACATATATATATATTTTTTTCACATACATTTTTGTTATATAATTTTACAGATTTTCTATTAAAAGTTATGTTTTAAATATATTAGGGCAGTGCCTTTCTCTTTTTCATTGTATATAGGGAAAACTCCTCCCACAAATTCAGGCCTATGGCCTTTTACTTATATATATCAAAAATAATTTATTTACTTAATTTATTACTGGCATTTATAAAGCGCCAACATATTCCGCAGCGCTGTACAATTGGGAAAAAGACAAACACAATAAGAACAAACCGATACAACAGGTCAAGGACCATGCCCGTGATCTTACAATCATATGCTTTTACCAGGCCCGTACTGGCCATCGGGCATACCGGGCAAATGTCCGGTGGGCTGCGATGGCCGTGGGCTGAGGCCGGCAGGGGAGATCACAGGATCTCTCCTGCCAGCCCCTGCAGGGCCAACGCTATCCGAGCGCCGGCCCTGCTGTGTGCCTTCATGGGCTGGTGGGGAGATCAAGGATCTCCCTCACCTGCCCAGAGGCAGTTACAAGTGGCTGGGGAGGGAGGCAGGAGAGGATCCGGGGAGCTCTAGCCAGCAGCACCGCCGGGTTCCTCTCGCAGGATTCTGAGCATTACCGCGGTTACCATGGCAATGCTCAGATCTCGCGAGAGGACCTCTCACCACTAGGACCACCAGGGAAGACAGCATGGCACCCTCCTCCATGGAAACCCGGGATCTAGCTTTTTTTGTTTGTTTGTTTTTTAAATACAGATTTAAATAAACATTTTTACACTCACACTAACAGCACTCACACACACAGCACAATCACACACAGCACCCTCAGACACGTAGCACAATCACACAGCACCCTCAGATACACACAGCACCATCAGACACGCACACACACACACACACATACACACAGCACCCTTACTCACACAGCACCCTCACACACACACACACAGCACCCCCAGACACACACAGCACCCTCAGACACACTCAGCACATTCAGACAGCACCCACAGACACACAGAGCACCCACAGACACATAGCACCCCCCCCACACACAGCACCCTCACACACACAGCACCCCCCCACACACAGCACCCTCTGATACGGACAGTATCCTCAGACAGCACCCTCAGACAGGACCCTCAGACAGCACCTTCACACACATAGCACCCTCACACACACAGCACCCCCACACATAGAGCACCCACACTTACACAGCAACCTCAGACACAGACAGCACCATCACACACAGCACCGTCACACACACAGCACCCTCACACACAGACAGCACCCTCACACACACAACACACAGCACACTCTCACACATATACAGCACACACACATATGTATAATACATGAAATAACTCTCAGTGAGTTAACAGACAAAGAAAATTAGAAACATAGAATGTAATGGCAGATAAGAACACACAAACTACAGCACCCCTCACACTGCACAACTACACACATTACGCTCCAGATACACGCTAGATCCCTAACCATATATACAGTCTGAATCCTCTACACACACACACAATTTCCTATACACACTCTGGGTCCTTTACACTAGATCCCCTACACACACACACTCAGCACCACCTACACACACTACATTCCTGACATACAAACTCTGTATCCCCTTTGCACACATTACATTCCTTGTAAGCAAACACACACAACATTCTCTAAACACACACTCTCTACAACCCCTACACACGCTACGTCACCTATATACATACACACACTCTCTACAGCACCTAGCCACACATATTACACCATAAACACTAATTAAATTGACCTATTTACACAATACCACACCACAATCAGCTCACTCTACAATACACGCAATCCCACAAGCAGGCTACAAACACATGCACCATACGCTTTCCTGGCCCTTTTGCCCTCTGGTATCCCCCTTATGGAGACACCAGAGACAAGTTAAAAACAAACAATGATTAAATTTGCTTGCGCTGCGCAGAACACATACAGGTCCTTTTTCTCATGTTAGAGCTCTTCAGCGGGGCTCTGCGCTGGCTAACATGCTCACTTTGTCATTAGTGCTTGTCATAAGTGATGACAAAAAACACCCTCTCTGGCCCGCCCCCTTCTCAGGGGGCCGCTGTGATTGAAAAATGCCCGGGACAAATTTTTTTCCCAGTCCAGCCCTGGCTTTCACAGATATCTGCCCTACGAAGCTGGATTAATTGTAACTACTTTATTGATTTTCCACCAGGAAGATACGAAATCCACATATCCAGTCTAGCCCTTCCTGTCACAATGCAGAGTTCATGAGTCTCCTAAATGAAATAGCAATATGAAAACTACATGCACTAAGGGGTATGTTTACTAAACAGTTCATTGCTGTTTAGTGCAGATTTCTACTACCTGTCTAGAGGCAGTATAGTGAGAAGCCCTGAAGCAATTTGAGCACCTGGTACATACCATTTATAAACTGCTATTTTGTTTAACACAAAGGAACACTCCTAGCATCATAATCACTAGAATGAACTGTTGCAGGAGAGTTGTGACCTATATTGCCAGGGATAGGGGAGCCAGAGAGAGCTATAGTGTCAGGGATAAAGGAGGCAGAGAGAGCTATAATGCCAGGGATAAGGGAGGCAGAAGGAGCTATAGTGCCAGGGATAAGGGAGGCAGAAGGAGCTATAGTGCCAGTGATAAGGGAGGCAGAGAGAGCTATTGTGACAGGGATAAGGAAGGCAGAGAGAGCTATAATGCCAGGGATAAGGAAGGCAGAGAGAGCTATAATGCCAGGGATAAGGAAGGCAGAGAGAGCTATAATGCCAGGGATAAGGGAGGCAGAGAGAGCTATAATGCCAGGGATAAGGGAGGCAGAAGGAGCTCTAGTGCTAGTGATAAGGGTGGCAGAGAGAGCTAAAATGCCAGGGATAAGGGAGGCAGTGGAAGCTATAATGCCAGGGATAAGGGAGGCAGAAGGAGCTATAGTGACAGGGATAAGGGAGGCAGAGAGAGCTATAATGCCAGGGATAAGGGAGGCAGAAGGAGCTATAGTGTAGTGCCAGGGATAGGGGAGGCAGAGAGAACTATAGTGCCAGGGATAAGGGAGGCAGAGGGAGCTACAGTGTCAGGGATAAGGGAGGCAGAGGGAGCTCTAGTGCCAGGGATAAGGGAGGCAGAGGGAAGGGAACTATAGAGCTATAATGCCAGGGATAAGGGAGGCAGAAAGAGCTATAATGCCAGGGATAAGGGAGGCAGAAGGAGCTATAGTGTAGTGCCAGGGATAGGGGAGGCAGAGAGAGCTATAGTGCCAGGGATAAGGGAGGCAGAGGGAGCTACAGTGCCAGGGATAAGGGAGGCAGAGGGAGCTCTAGTGCCAGGGATAAGGGAGGCAGGGGGAAGGGAACTATAGAGCTATAATGCCAGGGATAAGGGAGGCAGAAAGAGCTATAATGCCAGGGATAAGGGAGGCAGAAGGAGCTATAGTGTAGTGCCAGGGATAGGGGAGGCAGAGAGAGCTATAGTGCCAGGGATAAGGGAGGCAGAGGGAGCTATAGTGCCAGGGATAAGGGAGGCAGAGGGAGCTATAGTGCCAAGGATAAGGGAGGCAGAGAGAGCTATAGTGCCGGGGATACAGGAGGCACAGGGAGCTATAGTGCCGGGGATAAGGGAGGCAGAGAGAGCTATAGTGCTGGGGATACGGGAGGCAGAGGGAGCTATAGTGCCAGGGATAAGGGAGGCAGAGGGAGCTATAGTGCCGGGGATAAGAGAGGCAGAAAGAGCTATAGTGCCCGGGGATAAGGGAGGCAGAGAGAGCTATAGTGCCGGGGATAAGGGAGGCAGAGGGAGCTATAGTGCCAGGGATAAGGAAGGCAGAGGGAGCTATAGAGCTGAGTATAAGGGAGGCAGAGGGAGCTATAATGCCAGGGAAAAGGGAGGCAGTGGGAGCTATAGCTTTGTATTCCTGGCATTATAGTATCCCCTTTCTCCACATTTCTTTGACTTTCATATTTATACATCTCTCCCACTGTGCATCGTGTATGGAGTCTGTAGTCTGTATGGAGATGAGAAAATCACGCATCATATAAATATTCCTTACTGTACTTGTGCAGTGCTACTGTGACATTTTTGTATGCATTAGATTTTTTTTTTGGCTCCTTTTTTTGTTAGTTAACTTCGATTTTATGACAAGACACGGAGGCTCATACTGCATATCCCTTTCTTTACTGTCCACCAATAGCAGCAAAGGATATAAACAGAATGAAAAAAAACAATGAACATACAGTAACATAGGCCCCTCCCTGCACATGACCCAGTATAATAGGCAGCACTTCCCTTCCATTTCCCTCTTTCTTTGCTGCTCCAAAGATAAGTAACAGCTCACATTTTTCCTCTCATTGATTACTTGTTTATTGTGTCAGTTATGGTTGTTATTCTGCTATTTATTGTCATTTATTGTTGTATTGCTTCCTTATTGACTGATTCAATACTATTCTTCTATTCGATTCTATTAAGAATTTTTTTTCTCCTCAGTTTATCTATTTATGTTTACTGTATGTCTGTATACACATATGGTTTGTCTCCCAGGGTTCCAGACCTCCTGTGCGAAATATCTATCTATGCACTCTCAGTTTTGACTTCTTCTTTGATTACTTCTACCTCTTATTCTTTTTCTCGCCATCTCTCCTCTCCCTGTCCGCTGGCGCCATTTTGCGCTGCTTTCCCCATTCCGTTCGGCTGTTTTGTGCATGTATCATGCCGTCCGGCTGAATTCACGAATCCAGACCATTCGTTAGTTTCACCGGCATATAGCACATTCGCCTATTTGCCGCGTTCGACTAATTGATTTGTGCGTTTTACTCATTCGCCTGTTCTTACATTTGCCTGTTTTTACATTCGTCTGTTTTATTCACGCAAATTCACCTATTTTACTGCACATTCGGTTCTTTTCTATTGCCGAATTCACTGGTTTTGCCGCGAATCTCGCGAGACTCGCGGCGGCCATTTTCGGACTTACTGTCTCTCATACTACCTCGTGTGTGTCTGTGTGCCTCTGGTTTGAACCCTGGTGAGATCCCTATCATTCTTGTTCCCTATAGTTTGGGTGACTAACCCTTACTACTCTGCAACCTCACTGGTAGGAATTTTGAGCTGCATCCATTATGCCCAAACCCAGGATGCCTTCCAGCTCACCACCCTCTGGGGTGATAGATGCCCCTTTGCCTCTGGGAGAGACCCCTGTCATCTATGACACACCATCTACTCTGGCAGATAGACCCACCCAACCTGAAGGTGACCAATTCTTGGCACTACAGCGCTCGATGACAGATGCCATTATGGCAGCCATGGGGTCCATGTCTTCTACCCTTTCCCATACCATCTCCCAAGCCCTCCTGCCACGTCCTTTGGACGCGCAAATGTCAGGTTCCACGACGCCTCTTCTGCGTCCCACTATTGACCTGTCTGAGGGCACACCTAAGAAGGCGACCCATAAGTCCAAACACTCCTCTGCCTCTAGAACTGTTATGACTGGTGTACCTACGGTCGCCCCGGAAAGCGTGTCCTACCCACGCAAAAGAGCCGTTCCGCGCCAGGCAGTACGGGGGCGCAGCTCTGGAAATGTGCTAGCACACAACCTGAGAGTGACTCCGACTCAGAAATCGGGTCAGGTGAGGAGGCTATGGTTGAGTCTGATGACGACTCTGATGTTGAGACCGCTGAGCTGGGCCTTGACCTCCTTCCCTCTGCTCAGGCAGAGACGTCCAGAGGTGACACGGGGCGCTTCACCCCGCAATCGCGGGGTCCACCCTCTTGGATCCGTTAGGAGAACCTCTCTTCGACCCAGATGAGCTTCACCATCCGAGATCGGCGGAGTGGCTCCCAGTGGACCATGTAGCCAAGTACCTTGAAAATTGGGTACGACGCCCGCTCAGTAAAACGACACGGAACAAACTGAGGGCAGAGTGCCCAAGGCCTACGGTGCCGAATAAAGTCTGTGATACCTCCGAAGTTGATCCAAAAATGACCCAGTTCCTAACTAAGATGGGCTGGAACCCACGTAAGGGCCTAGACTCTGCCCTAAACGCATGCCAGGATAAACACTTAGACATATTTGGTCCGCTGGCAAAACTTTTCAAACTGGCGGAAGATGCCAGAGCTGGAAATCATATGGTTGACCCCGAAGACCTCCGTGGTTGGGTCCAAAGGGCTATTTGTATCGCCGGGAGCGTAAACACCTCCCTCTCTATTGAATGGCGTAAAGCCATTTTGTTTAACCCCTTAAGGACTGGACTGTTTTTGCGATGTTGTACATTTGCGACCAGACATATTTTTACACTTTTGTGGTGTTTGTGTTTGGCTGGAATTTTCCGCTCTCTCATTTACTGTTCCCATACAAATTATATATTGTTTTTTTCAGGACAAAAGGGGCTTTCTTTACATACCATTATTTATATAATCTCATGTATTTTAAATAAAAAAAAATTAAAAAATATGATGAAAAATTGAAAAAAATACATGTTTTTTGACTTTTACTTGAAAAATCTTTTACTCATCTACAAAAGCGAATTAAAAAAACTGCTAAATAGATTCAAAATTTTGTCCTGAGTTTAAAAATACCCCGTGTTTACATGCTTTTTTGCTTTTTTTTGCATGTTGTAGGGCTATAGGTACAAGTAGAATATTGCGGTTTCAAAACATAAATTTTTTAAATTTATCAATAGTGACATTGTAACACTATTATCTGTCATAAATCTCTGAATAACACCCCACATGTACATATTTTTTTTAAAGTAGACAACCCAGGGTATTCAATATGGGGTATGTCCAGTCTTTTTTAGTAGCCACTTAGTCGAAAACACTGGCCAAAGTAAGCATTCATATTTGTTTGTGTGTGAAAAAAGTAAAAAAACTAAATTGAACGCTAATTTTGGCCAGCGTTTGTGACCAAGTGGTTACTAAAAAAGACTGGACATACCCCATTTGCAATACCTTGGGTTGTCTTCTTTTGCAAATGGTATGCCATCATGGGGGTAATTCTCATTCCTGGGCTACCATACGCTCTCAAAGGCAACGTAACCAACCTGGCCATTTTCAATGTAAAAATATTTGACCCATATATTTGACCTTGTAACTTTCAAAAATACTATAAAACCTGTACATGGGGGGTACTGTTTTACTCAGGAGACTTTGCTGAACACAAATATTAGTGTTTAAAAACTGGAAAACGTATCACAACAATTATATCATCAGTAAAAGTGCTGTTTGTGTGTGAAAAATGCAAAAAAAGTCACTTTCACTGACAATATCATCGCTGTGATATGTTTTACTGTTTTGAATCACTAATATTTGTGTTCAGCGAAGTCTCCCGAGTAAAACAGTACCCCCCATGTACAGGTTTTAGGGTGTCGTAGAACGTTACAGGGTAAAATACAGTGCTAGCAAATTCAATTCTCTGGAATTTCGGCCTGGGTTGGCAGGCAGGTCCCTTAAATTGCAGTCAATAAAATTACTGAATTATGTAAAACTATTACATAAATACGCACGTAGAATTTAAATATATATGCATATTTATATATTTGAAGTCTACGTGTATATTTATATAATTATTTATGTAATTTTGTATATGGACATATGTATATTTCGTATTATTTTTATTTATTTATATATACATAGATATATATACAAATTTATTCTAAGTGTATTTTGATATAAATATATATATATTAATTTTAAAATACAGTTAGAATAAAATTTCATATAGATATATAATTTTTTTTAATTTTTTTATTATTATTTAAAAAATTTTTTATTTAATTTAAATTACTTATTATTTATATTTTATAATAATATATATATACAATATATATAGTTATTATATATATTATATATATACATGTGTAATTTAATTATAAGTGTATTTTTATATTAATATAAGTACATATTAATATAAAAATACACTTAGTATGGCATTATATAGATGATATATAGACATATATTATATAGATATATTATATGTCTATATATCATATTTATATACACACATATAATTTTTTTTATTTATTATTAACATTAACTTTATTTTTTTTAATGATTTTACACTAGCAGGGAGACTGCCTGTCAGCACAGACAGTCCCCCTGCAGGCAGCACTATGGACACCTATTGTGACCATGTGATCGCTGTGTTGAGCGATCACATGGCCACAGGGGTCCTAATTCAGTGTGGGGAGACTGTCTGGGCTGCAGGCAGTCTCCCCACAACCGGAGCAACACTGATCGCCGCCGGGGGAACGACGGCGATCAGGTAAGTACCCCCAGACCGTTAGGACGGTTCAGGACCGTCATCGGTCCTCAAGGCAAAAATGCCGATGACGGTCCTGAACCGTCCTCGGTCGCTAAGGGGTTAAAATAGAGCCTAAACTGGCCAACCTTGCCTTAACAGAGGCTGGGAAGGACGCCCAAGGATTATTATTTGGCGACTCCTTCATTAAAGACCAGGGGCGCTTTGTGGGGGCATTCACGGCCTTTTACAAGGCTGTCACGGTTCTCACCTGATAGACAGACGGCAAGACGTGGTCGCTCTTGGAGTTCCCAACAGGGGACTTGAACCGGGGATCTTCTCAGTCCTGGTCCTGCTTTCTACCTCTGAGCCACAGCAGCTATTTACAGTGAAGACTGATTCCAATCCTGTTCATCCTGACATGGCTACTACTCTGGGGGCTGCACCTTGACTTGGCTGTGTTTCACCTGACTCTGATCAGTCATCAGCAGGGTATATAAACCCAGCCTCGCCCTGTGCTCAGTGTCAAGTCTTTGATCCTGTTTGTTCCAGTGTTCCTGTTTCATCGCTTCGCATTATTGACCCCGGCTTCCTGACTCGTTTATTCTGACTTCTGGCATCCCTTGACTTCGGCTACTCCTCGTTGTTCCTGTCCTCTGGCATCCTTTGACCTCGGCTATCCCTCGACCATCCTGCTGGTTCAGTCCTTGCCTGTCCTGCGTATTGGTACTGCATCCTGCACAGCCCCCGTGCACAGACCCACAGGCCAGGTGAATTCTTACCTGACCACCTCGGCCTGTGGCTATCTGCAAGGGTGAGCATCATATCTGCGCTACAGACTCCCAACTCAGGTAAGACCCTGACATAAGGACTTGACCATTATGGAGTCCGCAGAGATGTGCTCACCCTCGACCCAGCGTGTGTCCAGCCTGGCCCAGACTGTTTCGGAGCTGCAGCAAGAAATTTTATTCCTTAAAGGCGCAGTACATCCAGCCCCGGAACCAGCTTTTCCTGAACCGTTTGTCATCATGCCCGACCGATTTGATGGTAGCCGCACATCCTTTCAGTCTTTCAAGATGGATTGTGAGGTGTTGTTTTCCTTAAAGCCTCGAACATATGCCACAGAATTCATCAGGTCAGAGCGGCTATCAACCTGTTGTCTGGACGCATCAAAGTTTGGGCTCACCAAATGTTGCAGACGAAGAGTCCTGTCCTGGTCAGCTGGGAATCCTTTAGTACTGCTATGGACTCACAATGTAAGACCACTGTGGCCAAGTCAGCTCCGCGTACTAAAAAATCTCAGACTCTTCCTAACCTAGAAACCGAGTACCACCACTACGCCCCAGAAATGCCTCCTTATGTTCCAGCTCCCAGGAAAACTCCAGAGGTATCCGGTGTTCCACTTGACCCTGTGGAACCTATGCAATTAGGACTCGTCCACTGCAAAGTGACACCTAAGGAAAAAGACCGAAGGAGAAGCTATGGCCTATGTTATTACTGTGGAGAAAAAGGGCACTTCATCACGCTTTGTCCTGTTCGCCCTCCTAGACCTCCAGCTCTCCGACTTGGTACTAGTTTCCTTCGCCCTGTGTACACCGCATACCAGCCTAAAAAGCCAAATAGAAGCCGTTGTGCTTGCACATGCTTGGCTTCCGCGAGAAAACCTCCATCCCCTGCTCCAGAGCCTCCTGCATCTACTCCCGAAGTTGCTTCCTGTGATACCACCACTACTTCCTGCCCGCCCGAAGAGGTTTTACCTGTGGATTGTGCCGTTGCTTCTAATGGCACTATAGTCCGTAAAGAAAACCTTGATATGTTCGAAAAAGCATTGTTAGCTGCGAACACTGCTCCTGCCAAAGTTTTGGAAGTGCTTGCCACCTGTACCCGGAACCTAAAAGACCTGGACAATTCTCCAGCCGTACCAGAAGCTGGTACTGCGGACTCCCAAGCTGTAAAGGGAATCCTTGCTGGGGAGTTTGACTATGGGGACTCACTGGATTCAGATAGTGACCCTGGAGAGGTGTACTATGCTGACAATGAACCCATTCACGCCCGGAGGTCGTTTTTAAAGGGGGGGGTACTGTCACGGTTCTCACCTGATAGACAGACGGCAAGACGTGGTCGCTCTTGGAGTTCCCAACAGGGGACTTGAACCGGGGATCTTCTCAGTCCTGGTCCTGCTTTCTACCTCTGAGCCACAGCAGCTATTTACAGTGAAGACTGATTCCAATCCTGTTCATCCTGACATGGCTACTACTCTGGGGGCTGCACCTTGACTTGGCTGTGTTTCACCTGACTCTGATCAGTCATCAGCAGGGTATATAAACCCAGCCTCGCCCTGTGCTCAGTGTCAAGTCCTTGATCCTGTTTGTTCCAGTGTTCCTGTTTCATCGCTTCGCATTATTGACCCCGGCTTCCTGACTCGTTTATTCTGACTTCTGGCATCCCTTGACTTCGGCTACTCCTCGTTGTTCCTGTCCTCTGGCATCCTTTGACCTCGGCTATCCCTCGACCATCCTGCTGGTTCAGTCCTTGCCTGTCCTGCGTATTGGTACTGCATCCTGCACAGCCCCCGTGCACAGACCCACAGGCCAGGTGAATTCTTACCTGACCACCTCGGCCTGTGGCTATCTGCAAGGGTGAGCATCATATCTGCGCTACAGACTCCCAACTCAGGTAAGACCCTGACAAAGGCCCAAACCTCCATGAGACGGGTTTTTCAGGGAAAGGTCTCTACCAGGGCCGGCAGATCCAGGAGCCGTCTGTCCGGCCGGTCCTACTTTCAGTCCCGTGGCTCGGGACAAGACTCTTTTCAGCACTGCTCCAACTTCCAGGAGACAAATGCCCGCTCCCCATTCTTCCCATCACGTGGACGCCCGTGGCGATCCAGAGGTTTCCGGGGTAACACCGGCTCCAGAAGACCCTATGGTGAGTTTACTCATACCTCATGTTTCTTCACATGTTTATGTAGGGGCAGACTCCAACATTTTTTCCCAGCCTGGGCACAGTTAACCTCCGACCCCTGGGTACTAAACACCATTCGAGGTTTCTTCATAGACCTTGTGGGGAACCCTGTAACTATCCCGCCTCCTCGACCGATCTGCTTCTCCATCGCAGGTCGATCGACGAAGAACTATCCTCGTTCCTCAGCAAGAGAGCGATAGAACGGGCACCCCGGGACTCCACGGGAGTCGTAAGCAAAATTTTCCTAGTGGAAAAGAAGGGCGGCCAAATGCGCCCAGTCATAAATCTACGCCCACTCAATGCTATGGTCAAGTACCGCCATTTCAAGATGGAGGGTATCCATCTGTTGAGAGATCTACTCACGATATCTATCGGATGCCAGCGACTGGAAATTGGACACAAACGTGTTCTCCAGTATATCGTTTCTTTGGGGACCTTTTGCGATAGACCTATTCGTCCCGGCTCAACACCCAGCTCCCTCGATTCTTCAGCTGGAGGCCGGATCCGGCGGCGGAGGCAGTGGACGCCTTCCTGCAGGTTTGGAGCGGAGACCTCCTATATGCCTTTCCCCCGTTCTCCATGATCCCTCGCGCCCTTCTACACTCTTGCAGATATCAGGCCAAATTGGTCCTAGTGACCCCGTTCTGGGACACACAATCATGGTTCCCTCAACTTCTCGGGATGACGATAGATCATCCCAGACTGTTGCCACCCTACCAGGAACTTCTTCGGGATCCGATAGGGTGTTGCCACCCTCTCCGGTTAGAGGGCTTCCTCCAGCTGCTGGCGTGGCGGATTTCAGGGG